TGGCCTTCTTGGCCACCTGGGCACACTGCTGGCTCATGTTCAGCCGGCTGTCGACCAACACCCCCAGGTCCTTTTCTGTTGGGCAGCCTTACAGCCACTCTTCCCCAAGCCTCAGATTTCCAAGTGCTACCATTAAACTTGTATTTAAAGACTCTCTGTAAAAACTGATTGAACTGGTTATCATCAGATCTTCAATCTTTTAACAGGAATTATCAAAGTATGCTCCTGAAAATTTGCATTATACAGAACTGCTTCTGACGCTGAAGAACACTATGCCAAGTTATAGCCTGGCAGAAACTCTAGTATACAAACTGTAACACCTGAAAACAAAGTATTTATCCTGTATATGTTAACATAAGTTTAATTTATACTGCAATATAATCAAGTAAAAAAACCCAAAGGATATAATCATTGAAAAATCAAATTAATTTAATCAGTTGGACTTCTAGACTTGCTAGGTTATCTCACCTCCTTTAATTTTAAAATATTTGCACCAAAGCAAATGCACAAGCTTTCTATGTATACGTACAGGATCACCTGGAGGGCCTGGTAGTCCTGGCTTTCCATCTCTTCCTGGAGTGCCCTAGAAACAAATGTAAAATTTGATGGCCTTAAATCACTGATGAGGGACGCATTACTTTTTGCTGTATATATAGAGAACTGTCACTTACATTGATACCAGGGGTACCTGGAGTTCCTGGTAATCCTGGGGGTCCCCTAGGGCCCTAAGAGCAGGAAAGGTCATTTAGGATTTAAGACTACTTTTATTTTACTGTAAACTTCTTAAACTAATGTTTTTTATATTAAAGAGAAAACTTATTCCTACCTGCACACCTGCTGATCCAGTTGGACCTATAGGACCCTGCAAGAAAACTCCAAATAATCAGTAGTTACACTTTTTGGGATAAGGGAGATGAACTTCATAAAAAAATACTGAACGTGGGATCTTGGTGCAGTTTGCATTGCAAGAAAGACTTGCTCTAAGGTTTGGCTTTAAATCCAAATCTAATTTTGCCAAAATTATAGAATTCAAGATTTTGCTGAGGCCCATTTTTAAGGGCAAGTAATACCAAAGAATAATGATCTGTGGTGAAACTTGCTATTTAGCTAGGAGATTCATAAGAAAAGCTGATATTCAACTGAATAAAAACAAATTAGATTATTTAAATATAAATGGGTAATTTTTAAAATTCAGATTTGAAAATATTTTAACTGAAGAAATTATTTTTAAGGTTTATTATTTCAGATTAAGATCTCAGGTGACTCTCTAGTCACCTTTCTCAAACATTTTCTCTCCGTACCTGAGTCCTGTCAATAAACTGAAATGTATCAGCTGACTATGTTGATCTGGACTGAAGAGAGATTGCCCTATTCACCACAGTAGAACTCATGTAATAACATGTACCACCTATCATCTACACCATCAATACCATCAACTTTTTTACTGAATACTCTGAAGACACTGCAGATGGCTTTATGTAAAGGCAATAGAAAGAAGAAACCCGGGAAACAAGCTGAATAACTGAAACAGTTATTGCTGTAAGCTATTTAGTATGAATGCTCTAGATACACTGCATCAACTTGCTTTATGTTTGAATTTAAACTGCGTAGAAATGCGTGAAGCAAGCTGTGCAAAATCAGGACTTTACTATTTCCTGGCATAGTACCTGGCACTGTAAGGTTCTCATTTATAAGCAGTAGACCTAAGCTTGTAATTAGCAGTCATCACAAATGCAAAAGCTAGGAGCTGATGCAAAGCCTTCCATATCTGTTTTACGTGTCTTTGCCTTTTCCAGTACCAGCATGGATTTCAAAATGCCATCATCTACAATGTCGAGTATACCTCTTCTCTTGTACCAGTACTCAGGCTGTATTTTGCTGACAACTGCTAACAATTGTTGCTTAGAAACAGACACAGTCTGAAGATGTCCCAGAAGACCATCACTAGGAAGCTCATCTGTAAAGCAGCCATTGACTCTTTCAGTTCTCCAAGGCTTCCATTTCTCACTTAGCACTAGATCTTTCTGGGTCTGGATAAAGGGAGAAGATGCTGAGTTGGGAGTCAAGTCAGAAGGGAGTTCTTGGCATGGCTTTTTACTACGCTTTGTTTACTTGTTGCAGTTTCTCAGTAATGCACAGTGAAAAGCCCAAATTCTGAGCGTTGGTATACTTACTGGTGATCCCTGAATGCCTATTCCAGGGGGCCCCATCTCCCCAGGTGCTCCTTGTACACCAGGTAGTCCTCTTTCTCCCTGAGAAGGGTACAAGGCTTTCAGTTACAACAGGTCTGAAAACGTAAACTAGCATATTATCTCTTTTCTTTAGAAACAGAAATAATATATTTTTTATACCTTTGGTCCCCGCGGACCTGGGTTTCCAGGGATACCAGTGGGACCCTAAAAAAAGAAAACCAGGAAAAAAACAAATTATGTTTTGAAATCAAAGACACTAGCTGAATTTCATTGCCAAAATTAGCCAGCTTTATAAATAAACTATGACAGATTTACATATGTCTTTCTTGTTAATACCACTGTCACTAGGAGCATGTGTGAGCCTTGCACTATTTCTAGACTGTATTTTAGTGCACTTACAATACCACTATAACATATATTTCAATTTTGAAATTACATCCAAAAAGACACTTGTTCTGATTTCTTTCATTGCACAATAAGAATTCTTTAACAGTTGTCCCTACAAGAAATAAAGTCATAAAAGACTTTTCAGACTATGGACTTACTGGTGTTCCAGGCAGACTTAGTCCAGGAGGTCCCACATCACCTTTTGGACCTGGATGTCCAGGTGGTCCCATAATCCCACCAGGGTCCCCCTACAAGATAAATCTGAATCACTAATTGAAATGTGAGAATTTTCTCTTATGAAAAAACTCTAAATATTATCAAGGTTATCCTAGAAAGTGCCAGTACTTTGAGAAGAAATAGAGAAGAAAAAAATGCCCATATTTTCCTTCAAAAAGTTACAGAAGAGGAGGCATGGACCACACAACCACTAATAGTAATTAGCATTGTCTCGGTTTTCCATGCTTGCAATGCATCTGATCTACATTTCTTTGTTGCCAGGCCCCTAACATGCAGGCTGTCATTAAACCCTGCCAATTAATTCACAGTAACAGCTTCAAACTGTCTCTCTCCAGCTATCTATCCCTACTGCTAAAACCCTGGTCTTCACTGTATTCCGGTTTACACCTCTATTTCTTACTTCAACGCATGCAGCGTCTCTTGCTGCACATCTCTAGAACTCCTCCTGCTTACACAGGTGAATTTGTGCCTTTTATTATGCTGTCCTCTTGTCTTTTACACGCTCCTGTATCATTCTCTGTGATTCTTTCTGAATCCACTACTTCTCATTTTGCAAGACAAATACATTTTTGTCATTATTCCACAGTTATTTTCTTCTCCTGCCTTTTCATCGGCTCACTTCTTCAAACTATTAATGGACTTTATTAGTTTCCCTTGTACCCCACAATGTGTAAATACCATAACACATCACATAGCTCACAGTATGTGTATATCCTCTTTTCTTCCCTTCTCTACATTCAACGTATACACACATACCATTTTTAACTCTTGCTGATGTAGCTGAATTCTAACTAAGGGATTTCTACACAGCAAAATACAATGCCATAAAGAGATCCCAGCCTTGGCTCACATCTGAGAGAGTATAGCTGCCCCAGTACTCTGCCAGGAGGAGTATGTCTGACTGTGGAGTGGGATTTTACACATTAGTCTGGTTAGGACGCTACACTGAAAAGGCTGTTCTGTGGTCAGGACCTGAACTGACATTTCTGCACTGCACAGATTTAATGTAAGAGCCCAATGCAACCTCCTTGAAATATTACTTAAATTATGAATCTAAAGAGCAATTGGGTTGCCAAATTGGCCTGCAGCATCTCCAAGGAGCAGACAGGGGGTTGCTGCTTGTACATTTTAAAATCAATTCATAAAGCAGCCACACAGATGCACTACAGAAGGATGGAAGGTTACTTCAGAGGTGACAGTCTAATATGCTCTAACATACCAAGCTTAATTAAAAACACTTAAAACATACCTTGTCACCTTTAACTCCTGGGTTTCCTGGTACCCCATGCTCTCCTGGTAAGCCCTGGAATTAATAAAAATATAATTGTACATTTTTATAGCTATTCCCTTAAAGATTATTTAAAATTACAGATGAAAATGAGTTGACACTGGATTATTTACTGTGCATTAGTATTGACCCAAAATGTTAAAGACTACAAGTTAATGAATGTTTCTTTAATCAAATATATGAATCATTTTTCTTTAAGTTGAAATGTAATAACCAAGATTATTTTCTGGACCCTATCAGGGCAGAATGGCAGAGACTGACAGGTTTATTTCTTCAATCTCAAAATAATTCCAAGACTTGAAAATCAATCATTTTTTCAAGGAAGGCAGTAACAGGTACAAACTTGAGTTTAAAATAACTGTCGCATCCTTTTTGCCTATGAAGGGCTGCATGATATCCTACACTAGTTAATTATTCAAATTTGTATCTTAAAAGCCTCAATGATTTCCTACTCCTGCACGTTATTTAATCTACCAAATTCCTTTAAAATGTTTTAGATATTTAATGGACAGATATTTTCAGCAAAATAAATATATTCCATCCTTTCTTTTGTCTAAATCTTCTCATCTTTCACATTTTGATTTTAACTTCAATATGTTCCCTTGCCCTTTTCATGATGGATTTGTTATAAATGCAGAGAAATGAAATAGATTAAAATCTAAATAGAAACTATTTAAATAATAGGGAAGGTTAAATTGTGTTCTCTTACTAAACTGTAACAAATACAGAAAACTTTTTGCATAACCCTTCAATGCTATTCAACCAACTATTGTATCAAGCATTTCATTAAGAATGCCAGTAACTTTCATAGTAAATGATAAAATTGTCAAAACTAAACAGTAAAATCTAAGTATGATACTTAATCCCGAATGGAAAATTAACTTCCTGAGGAAAGGACAAAGAAACACATATTGTTTTTATTTTTCTTCACAGTGTAAAACATAGTTTTGTGAACACGGACATATGAAGGATGACAACATTTTCATGCCAGTAGTGAGGGTTCAACAGCTGTGTGTTTGCTTTCTCTGCTGTACTCTGTCCTTAATACAGACAGACAGCTACTTGTTTCACCCAGCCATGAAAATTAAAAGCATAAGGAAAAAAAAAAGTACCGTAATGAAGAACATTCTGCTTATACCAATACAAAATCATTATAAGAATATATGGAAGTTTAAATTTACTGATTATGGATCAGACATCATGTCCTACCATATTCCCTTTTGATACCGACATAAAATGTACACAGTCTATCTTCTTTTCTAAGGATTTCTCAGGGTTTTTTTTTGGTTGGACCAAGCTTAAGGGATATCTTAGGAAAGGAAAGAAGCAAGTCTTATCTGCTGGACAACTCTTTGATGACGTAAGTGAAAGTAAAACAATTTTCAACCTTTCATAATTCTTATCATGCTGCATAAGATGAATTATTATATTAGTTAATCCATAACGTTTCATCTTTAGAAGATAAAACAAAACAACGAGCCTGGAACTATATACATGTTTCTACAATATGTTTAAATATATGTTTTTATATACTAGAATTGTGTGTACAAATATGAGTCTTCAAGATCATCTATATCTAGGATCTACATATATATAGTATTTATCTCCTCATAATGTCACTTGATCAAAGATCCAGCAGAACAGCAGTTTCAAAAGCAGCAATTATGAACTCAAGTGGGATGATGGCAACACAAGCCAAACAGCAACACAGTATTTTGTTATCTTTCACAGTAAGATTGGGGATCTATATGTAAAAATAGAACCACAGCAGAAAACGCTTACAAATTATTGTTATAGAAGACAGGTAAAGTTAGACACAATTTAAAAAATGTGTGCCTCAACTGAGTAGGAAAATAAGGTATAAAGAAATGGTCAATAAGTAACACAGTACAAAATGATTACATGCAGATCTGAATACTAGTTTTTTTCTCTGCCAGGAGCTGAAGATGCTGTACTCCAGCTGTCACTTTGCTTATATCCCTAAGACTTTTAACAGGTCAACAATGAAAAGTCTGCCAGCTGTGTACCACTCAGAACTGTATTTTAATATTAATAAAGTATATGACTTAAAAATCTGCTCAAATTAAGATTTCTCTTCCACAAAGTAGTCTCAGAGCGTGTGTGAAAAGGCCTAAGACAAAATGCAGCAACACCAGCTCCTAGATGCTTCTGTTTGTAGAAATAAGATAAAAACCAAAACCAACCCATAGAGCAAAGATCAAAATCCCAGTTCTTTTCAGGTGAATGACTTAACTGCTAGGCTAAAGCCTAGCTCTCCACTGTCTGCTTTTCTTGGTCCACTTCTTGGATCTAACCACTCAATCCTCCAAAACGGTACTTAAAACCCATTTTATGGTTTACGGAGGAAGGGAGGGAGGAGAACCAGGGAGAGGGGGTAGGTGCCACTTGTTAGGTTATGTGACACCACCACTGTTGTGGACTGAAACCTAATTTCAGTTTACATGGGGGATTAGGCAGAACAAACCTGCCTGCACACCTAAAAAGAGATTGCGCCATAATTTGGAAGGGAGACAGGCAGCCACCTCCTCAGAATAGGCTGTCTGCCATATTGGGGTGTCAAATCAAATGCCCAGGGAACTTTTAAGCTTAGTATAATGGTGCCTAATAGTTTAAGGTGTTTCCTAGAGTATTCAGACTGGGTTGAAGTTTCACCCATGCTCTTCCTGCCCAGAGGCACAAGGGTTACAGGTATGCTGGATCTCAGGGGAGGCCCCTACCAGTTTGAGGGATCCCGACTGGCCAGCAGACCCATCAGTCTGTTGCCCAGCGGCATAACGGTTACAGGTACACTAAAACCCCTATGAAGGAGGCCCCCATCATCTTAACAAACCCCAACCAGTTGGCAGACCTGCATGTGGGGCACCCAAAAGCGTAATAACTAGAGGCACATTAAAACTCTGCTGAGACCCTCCACTGCCTCGACAATTCCAACCCATCAGTTTTGCACACACAGGCATAAAGGTTACGGGCACACTGCATCTCTGATGAGGTGTTCTGTCTCCCCCAGCTCCTCCTGGAGGGCCGCCCTCAACAGGCCATGATGTCAATGTCAAGGTTCAATAAACTATCTGTATCCTGCTTCTGACACCATCTGACAGCCTGTAGTGGATCTGGATATTGGGGTTTATTTAAGAACCACTGAGATGAGAGCTTTTACCCTTCTTGATTATCTCACACTCTCACTCTCACTTGTTCCCCTGTTAGCATTATGTTCATTGGATCCTGACTTCCCTTTCCAGCAGGGAGATTGTTGCTCGTCCAGGATGGTTGGGCAGCAAGTTGTCTTGGTTTGTGTTGTGCAGCTGCTCAAAGTTACCAGTCTCAGGTAAGGTCCCTGGCAATTGTTAGTGGCTAAGGTCCCTGGCAATTGTTTCCATGCATCTCCCCGATCTCCACGACCTTCCCCCACTTCCAGGATCTTTCCTCCAGCCAAGATCTTCCCCTTCTTTCTTGAGAGACTGCTCTTTCCTTTCAGGAACCCTCCTATTTTGGCACCGCTTCTTCATCCAGGTACCCTCACCCCTTGGTTCTTGCCATCTAAATAGTCTATGTGCAGAAGCACAACAGGTGATCAGCCTCCAAATTGGTGAGTCTGTCTCCTGTCTCTTTATTAACTGGAGAGCCCGGGATGTGCCACTTTTGTTCAGTCCAGGTGCTACGAAAATTTAAAAGCAGCCCCTACTGTTGCATCTAACAAGTAGTGGGCTTCTGCTTGAGAGTTCAACAGTTCAGGTTTTGATGTTCTGGCACGGACATACAAACACACACTATCTGCCACCTGTCAGTGCTCAGAAATTAAGCTATTTTTCACCTATGGCAACCATATAATGCCTTTAGGTACTTTATGACTGTCAGTTAGCCTCTGCACAATTAAATTGGAGTATCAACCGACAATCGTAAGAATAATCTCTCATTCCTGCAGAAGTATTTTAGTAATTTAGTCTATTGAACAGTAATTAAAAAAGTTTTCTATTATATTTTTTCCAACCAATACTTCTACTCTGGCTAAAGATTTTAATATTGTCCCTAGTTTTAACGGAATTACGTCTTGCTCTGAATATGAGCTTTACTCATAAACCTGACCTAAATTCTAAGATAATAAACATAATTGTTTATTCTGTTCACCTTATTAATCTTTACCCCTTTTACAGGAAGTAAAACAATTCAGAATAATACAAAACCATAGACAAATAAGGAAGGCCATGTATTTAAATCCTTGGGGGTACTCTTACTTTCCCTGTTTCTTCTCATTTTGCTCTACACACAGTCCTTTCCAGCTCACGATGTAACATTATTAAAACTTTGCTAGAGATTTGTTTAATTTTCACCTACTCCTGTGAGATGAGTGATTTTTATAGAGCTAATTATCTGTGAATCAGACAAATTAGTATTATCATTCTTACTTGTTCAGATGGTAACACAAGGACAAAGAGAACATAAGCAAATAGCAGAACTCCATCCTGAGGCATCCCATACTACTGTGCTTCAACACCTGATTGCTATAGTACCACCCACAAAAGGAGCACCTATGATAACTTCTGTGGTACTGCTTCACTGGCTAGCTGTTCACACACCACAGTTCTACAGCTTGGTGACACTGCACGATACATACAACTTCTCCTGGCAGTCCCCTGGGTCCGACAGGTCCTGGGGGTCCTTGCAGTCCCTGTGAAATGATATAATACGCGCTTCAGGTAAAAGTCAATACACCTGTTGTAATTCGGTGTAAAGTGTTCTCATATATAAATAGATTAAAACATCTGGCATTAAGAATTATCTTCTACCTGGAGTAAGACGTACAGAGTTTGCTCATTCTCCTTTAACCTAACGTTTAGTCCAATAAATCTTTGGGACTGATATGTACAAAATCCAAAGTATGTATACAAAGCAAATACAAGTAAATACAAAGGCACTACCTAAAAGGAAAGACAAAACAAAAGGAGTAAATCAAGATTTTCTCCCTCAAGGCACAGATCTAGAAGTGATTTTTTAACTACATGGTAGGTGTTCCTTCTCTTTTTGGAATAGATCTCATCAGAAGGACTCCAGAGCACCAAAAGAAAAGGAGATTGAGATGTAGAGATAAAAGGATGACTTGGTGCAAACCCTAATGATCCTTTGGATCTCTATGAGCCTCTTTGGAAGGTATACAGTGTGAAGGTGACCTAGTTTTCCACTGCAGTAACAACAATCATTTCAGTAGCTCCTACCAAGGAAGGACATTAGCCTCCAAAGAGCAGTCTAAGGAGTTAGAGTGGAGAATCATTTTTAAGACCACAGTTTCATGGACCTTATAGCTGCATCTATTCCCCCTGGGACTTCTTTTGATGATCTAAGGAAATTGGGTACTATCATACCCAACAAGAATAGTGTTGGGTGGAGGTTACATTTTCACAGTTTCCAATTCTACCTTTATTTGATACAATTCAAGGCATCATGAGAGATTCTCAAGAACATTTGTGCTTCAGTTACTTTCTTGAAAGCAAGGCAATGACTACTTTGACATTACTTGCAGTCTCATAGGATTAAACATAGGAACTGCTAATGTACTGGCAGTGGTTACTCCTTGACTCACTGATGGATAAAGAGAATACACCCATCTACCGGTGGATTTGTAATTGCAAAATGGGTGCTCATATTCTTGAGTGACCAAATAACATTTGAGCTTTGCATAAATATTCCTTGCTGAGTGATGCTGAGATCAACAAGAATTTTATGAACTAAAAGTGAAATAGCCATGATCCATGCACAAACTTTTGATATAAACTATTTGCATTCTCTGCCCTTTAATACTAGCTAGAGAGTTGATAGCATTCAGAGTCCTCTTATATAACAGCATAGAATGTAATGGCTGTTAATACCACAAAAATACCTTTCACCTACCTTTGATCCTGGATTTCCAATAAGACCAGGTGGTCCAGGGTCTCCTGTTTCACCCTAATGATATTGTTTGAGAAAATAAAAAAAAATCCAGACTTACTTTTATGTCTCCCAGCATCAGCTATGTACACCAGTGATGTATATAGTGTGTACAAGCCAAAAAATACCTTATTTCCTTTTGATCCCTCCATTCCAGTTTCTCCCTGAAAATAGCAGGTACAACTGTAAGAAGTTAAAACTTGAACTAAGATCAACTAAGAGTTTAATTTGCTATCTTCAAATATTATAATATAGTTTGCAAAATTAACAAATATTGAGAAAGCATGAAAGAATTTCTCATGCCTTGTGCAAATTCTGAAAGGCATTCCTCTTTCAAATGAATTGTTTGCAGGTTTTCCTAGTGTTTTAAAGAAAAATTGTTTGAAAACACCACATTTGCTTAAGAGCTTCTCCAGTCTAAAGCCTATTCTTCACCACTAAATCTATTCTTCACCACTAAATCTCTACTGGTGACACAGTATTCATCTCCAAAACCACACATTGTTACAGTATGCCTCATTTTGGTTATTATAATATGTTAATCACAAGTATCTGAGCAACCTTCAGTTGTGTATTAAACAACATAACTAGCTTTTGTCAAATGTCATAAGAGAGGACAATAGTTAATTAAAAATAAGCAACACATGTAAACAGACTCTTACAGAATGAGTGTTCTGAAAATATCCCCCAAAATAACAAAAAAATGATGCACACATAAAATGGCTATAAGAAAACTGCCTGGTGCTAAATGCCACACTGGAAACTGGTAAAACAATTAAAAATAATACAGTTCAGCCCACATATAATTTTGTGAAATAACTGAAAGAAAGAACGAACCTTCAGGGAACAAAAAACCCATGTACTTTAAACTCAGTTCATGGATTGTATCAACTGCAGAAATGCTGAAGAACAGGGCATCTCTGGTTTTTATTTATAAAATAAATAAATTGTGTGAACTTGATGCATGTGTAAGAAGGAGACAATATATATGCTATCCCCCATAACCTCTGAATCTAATGAAAGTGTACAAAGAAAAGAATTACAACATGAATACAGTATGAAAATCATATATACAGTATGAAAATCATATTAAATGTAAATTATTCACATCATCAGTTCAAAACATAGCTATACTTACTGGATCTCCCTTGTCCCCTTTTTCAGAAGGCTCTCCCTATGGAAATATAGGGAAGATGTTAACACAGATTTATTTCAAATGGTAAATAGTACATATGTCTGGTTTTGGTGAAGAGTCCTTGAAAAGTGTTGTTGTTTTTTTAAACCTATATAAGTATACGGACTACAAAAGTTTACTTGAGGGATGATGTTGATTTAATGACAAGACCATGACATGCGTAATCCTTTCAAGCAGGAGCACAAGGGAGGGTCAGCAACAGGAACTAAAAAGAGTGACAACGCGTACAAATCTGACAAATTCTGAAACACAAGTGCTTTATAAAACACAAAATTATGAATCTGTCATATCGACAGAGTAAAAAAAGTTTCTGCCTGCATGAAAATTGTTTATACACAAGGATATGACCAAAGAACCCAACTGGAAGCCTAACAGCTGAAGGGCAAAATGCCTCTTCTTCAGTGGATGAAGAACTGGGTACGTCACATGTTCCTAGAAAAACACAATACATACCTATTCGTTCCCCCCCAATCTTTCTGGAAAATTTAAGCTTAAACTAGAAGATATTAAATTAGGAAGTTTATTTATAAATTTTAATAATTTAAAGACTCCTGTTTTTTCATATAGGTATTGAAGATCACATTTGTAACTTGAAAAAGTATGAATGGTGTCTAATTCGTGAGGCAATCACTGGTCATAAACTTATATAAACATAATTTTAAACTGGTATTCAGTAAAAGTCTGAATGTGTTTAAAGTTAAGGACTTTGTGAGCTGTTGGAACAGGGAAATGTACTTTCATACGTAAATGCTCTCTCAAGGAGGGGCTTAAGTAAATTACTAAGGACATTCAGAGACTGACAGCTTTTCTGATGCCCAAATATATTTCCTTGATCCTGAGTATATTTTTCCAAAATTTGATTCATAATCAGTACATTCACCCACCTTCTAGTAGCACACATAAGCACAGAAGTAAGGAATTAATTTACCTTTTCTCCTTTTGTGCCGGTCATTCCCAATTCTCCTTTTTGACCCTTTTAACAAAATAAATTATATTTAAAACCTTTTATATTCTAACAAATGCAAATAAACTCTTCCTCTCCTTCAACTGTACTTTGTTCTGGGTAGGGCACAAAATCTTAACTTCTATTGCAATGGAAATCTGAGATTTAAACATCTGCAAATTAATTTAAATGCCTGTTTTGTATAGCAGATCTGCAGGCTTCTCAATAAAAAACGGTGTCAATCCTGTGACATATCCAGAGCACTTGTCTCTTCCAAGTTTAAAAGGCATCCAATTGTTAAAAATTCATTCCATTGTTTAAACAGGACAGATGCCTATAAACAACATACTGTCATATGGTGTGGATTCAGAATTTGACCTCCACGTAATTTTTAGAGGCTGACTATAAGTATTTCTGGTATAGCAAGTCCCATCGCTACAGAGAAACTGCTTTAAATATTCATGATTTACTATTAAAAATATTTTCTGAATTTCAACTTTTTTAGAGTCTTTACCCCCTAACCGGCAGGCCAGCTCATTTGACTTCTCCTCAGACAGTGTTATAGAAACCACACACAATTCTTCCTGCATTTTCCCTTTCTGGTTATCATATATGAGAGGAGAAAGGCTCACGTGCTTCACCTGCAGGAAAGCATGATGAGTTGCAATATTGGACTACACAGATAAAAGAGCCAGTCACATCTAAAATCTATTCCTTCAAAGACCATTGTGATAAATCAAATAAAATATACTGTGTTAAGGGTGGCAGAGACAGGTTAGACAGGCACTTTGAAATTTCTCCAAATTCATCCAAAATGCTTACAATGTCTCCCTTCTGGCCTTTAGGTCCAGGGGTCCCAAGTAATCCTAGTAGTCTTGCATCACTCTGGGAAGAAATATCACCATAAAGATCAGAGAACAGAACATGTCACCGTTTATTTACAGTAACAATTTATTTACCATAACAATTTCATGTAATTTACCAGTATGTAAATTCAGAAGTCCTAATTTACTACTAGAAAGGGATACTAAATGCCTACGCAGTACATCTAAGTAATGTATTGCAGCAACACATCCTTTGTCATGCATTCATACTCCAGTCAGACTAGCAGAAGATGAACAAAAGCATAAAAAGGAAATGTTGATGTTGAATATTGCTATGCAAATCTGTGTTGGTTTTTTTCTTAACTCAATGCAAAGAGCATATTTTTATGCTCGTTATTACAGTACATTTCTCAAGTATGTTAGAAAAGAACAATAAAAATCACTTCTATGACAAAAACACAAGCTTTGTACTTTTGAGCAGCATGAAATGTAAAATAGAACTAATTTAAGTCTACTACAGCAGTGAGACAGAAGGAGAGGGAATGAATACGATCAACAGGCTCCTCACACTGCTCCTCAAAGAAAACAGATGGATTTAAGGACCAGGGGTGCAGGTTGTATACTTGCTCAGGTATTATTGCACTGCATCTATTTACTCTTCCGTACAAGGTAAAGACACAATAAAATACAAAGCAAACGGTTTCCTCTTCACAAAGCCAGGCTCAGACTACCTAAGGGGAACATGTTTTCTTCTAATGACAATGGAAAAAGCAACAAAACCAATGACCCTGAAAAATGAGCTCGAGTCTGACCCAAGGAGTCCAAGACCTAGAACATCTGCCACTGGGCTGAATGGGAACCCTGAGCAAGCCAACTGCCCTTGCCATGTTCCAGTTTCCATCTCTCTAAAATGGGAGAACATCACGATGAATAAAAGTGCCATTTACACTCTGTTAATATTTTCAGAAGTTGATAACTGAATGTAACCTGAATAAAATTCATAATTATTTTACAAATGTTAATGTCCTGAAGGGTCTTCTTCAGTGTTTAGGGTTTGTAACATTGCTACTACCCTAATTATCAAAATCAGCTCCAGAGCAAGAGGCAGATACCCAAAGAAGGGAACCTGAGTATTGCTGAGAAGTAGTTGACTACTGCTTGACTGAGAACAATCTAGGTGTCTGTTATTATGAATATACTGTAAGTTACGGCTTCTTCTGAGTTGTGCATTTCTTTTGCATACATGCAGGAAAAAAAAGGGTGTTAGAGCAAATAACTACTTTTATGGTCTCTGCATATTTATAGGTCATTTGCTCTTTACAACAAAATGCAAGTAAAATATGCCAAAGAAAAAAAAGCTTAGAAAAGTAATAATGAATTATTCAAGAATAATCTATAATTATTATGAATTATAATGATTTTGAAACATTTCCTGAGCAGATTGTGATGTAGTTTCTATTGCTTTGTGTTGTGGTTTCATTTTTATTTTTACATGTCGGAGAACATTTTAGATTAAACTGATCTGTATGCCCTTTCCAAAGATGTTTAGAAGCAGGTTTGACCGAAGTGACCTTCTATCTATGCATGGAAAACTGGTAAGCAAAAAAGATGACAAGCAGAGGCCTTGAAAGCCCAGGCAAAGGATGATAACAGAGGCCCGAGAGTGTATAAACACAAATCACGAGGCATCATTTACCAGTCACTGAAGGAATGTAACCTACAGAGCAGGGCAGAACCAGTTTCTTGGCATAACGAAGAGAACAAAATGCATGTATTGAACAAATGCAAAGCATCTCATTTACGCTGAAAGTGCGAAAGACATAACAAGAAGGAATATAAAAATAGTCACACGCTTTGCAAGAACAGGCACAAAGGAAGAACGATGAGGAAAAATGCTCCAGCACTGTCTCCCGCCCCATTAAGGATCAATGCTACTACTTATCCTCAGCAGGTTCCCCTCACCTTCGTTAAAGAAAGACTGCTGTTCTTGGTTGGCCATTCAGCACAGTTTGCTGTTGCAGTCAGCAATTGTATTTATAGTGCTCTCTTTCACTGTATACATGGATCAAGTAAATTATGCTTTTAAAAACTTGCACTCCAGCCTCCTTACACAACAAGGTGATTGATACTGAGCCAGAAAAAGCTTGGTTGCAACAAATCATATAAAAACATTGTACAATCACAACTACTCATTGATACCACACAGAAATCAGAATTGCAAATAATCTGCTAAGAAACAGAGAAATTATAGATAAAAAAGGCATTATTAACTATGATGGGTCTTAAGATCTCTCTCACTGATCCCCCACACTTCTTGGTAGCAGTTTCTCATGATTACTAGAAACAATGCAAAGAAGCCATACTAATATCTTCAGGAAAAAAAAGGTACTAAAACCTCTATAGCAACAAAAATGTGGTCACAATTTAAACACTTTAAAAAACGAACCTGAAAGAAGACCTTGTGAGATCCTTGAGAACATGCATAAAATGTTGGAAAATTACAAGACCGTTTCCTGTGGTGTAAGGAATCTCAAAAACCTCAGAATATCACTGAAATATCATCTTACAAATGCAAATAATTGAGGCACATTGCAAATTATATACTGGAATGTGAAAGATTGCTTGGTTCCTCCAAGGTGCAGTGAACAAAATCAGCACTCCTCATACTACGTAAGAGTGTGGGGAAAAAACGAAAGTTACTGGTGCGTACATCTGCCTAAATGAATAATCAATGGCAAAGCAGACAACCTGTCCTTGTCTTTGATGACCTCTTTGATGTCTTTGCCTTGTCGTTGATGGGAATATCCTGTTCCCATCATAAAATGTATAGAAACTAATATGTTTGCTGTAGCAGTTGGAGACTTAAGTTGACTCTAGGAAGATCTGAACATGTAGTTACAGAAAGTTTGCGTATTTAAAACCTGCTACTTGAATCAGAAAGCCATCTCCTCTCTCATCTCAAACCAAACAGCTTTTCCTTGTTGAACAGTTAATTGCTTGTGACAGAGTCATTAAAATCTTCAAACTAGACAGCTGAAGGAAGAAGAAAGTTGGTAAACTGTATGGGATTTAAAAGATAATTAACTTATAGACACAGAGCAGCTGGTCTACATTTTTCCAGAATATTGTTAATTAGGAAATGTAAGTCACCTTAGGAATTCTTAGAGCCTTACAATGATAAGAAATGTGATTTTTGGAGACAGATGCTTGCCAGTTCCTGAAGATCACCACTGTTTGTATTTCCTCCTGCAGAATTAACCTTAAAGGCACTATCAGAGTAAGAGAGATTAATAGTCCAGAGGCGGGGAATGAATTACAATAAATATGGTATTGATAGAAGAAACAGGGCTGGTATCAGTGAAAGCTGTCTTTGGCAGGAAAAGAAAACTGGTAAGAAAACGAAAGGTAAAAACCCAAAATATAGAAAACTTCAACACATATGAAATGGCAGACCAAAACCAGAAACAAGGTCTCCAGGTATGAAAATGTCCCTGTCCAGGACAGCATATAAAACTATGCCTAATTCCTAATCCACGTTTGAAGGTGATATACTGATTTGGAATGGATTAAATATCAGAAATAGAGAAATCACTTCAGTGATAAAAGCAATTGGAAAGATATGTTTGACATGAATTTCGCTCCAGAATCGCTATTCAAAAAAAGATTTTAGTACTCATATGGGTATGTTACATAAGAAAAATATCCTGAATTCACCTGCTCTTTATAGTTATGCATTTTAATATTAAAAGAAATGGATGTCTTTCAGGTTTGACCCGCATGACTTAAGGTGTGATACACACAGTAACCTTTGTATTAAGCAAATATTCCTGTAATACTGCTTCATCAGTCTTTGAATGAAACACGATTTTCTAATCAGATAAGTTATGTACTCACTTTGGCACCAGTTAAGAAAACTGGCGTGATCTTTGAATTACGATGCTTTACAATGGCAGACACTACCACCACTTAAATGATTCGAAAAATCTGTGGTAAGAATTTAAAAGCTCTGTCACATAGAACACTGTCCTACGCAATTTTAACTTTTTTCTATAAAGTGCTTGTAGCTGCAGGAGATTCTATAATTAAGACAGTATTTTCATTAGTCTGTAATACAAACATAAGGATAATTCTCATGGATTGCTAGCAGATCTTTTAAAAGCATGTTTCCTTGTCTTTCTATTCTACTCTTAGGATCATGACAGGTAGGTCAAGAAAGAAAAAATGTCATGTACGGTTTAGAGCAATTAGGTTTAGAAATGGGGAGCTGGTGCTTTATGCTAACAGCTAGGTGGTCCACCCACCTCCTTTTTGAGATATACCAGGCAAAAATATGTGAGTAGAAGATGGATGGGAGGTAAGACACATGGCAACAGGATAGATGACACAGTGGGTATGACTGAAGTGTGGACTGAGACTATACAGGGATGCAGAAAGGGGACAGGGAAGGATCTACCTTTTGGATTAATTTGGAATGTGGTTCACAGGGATCAAAACTGTGGTCATTTCTACCTTAGATACTTCGTAGTCATGAACACACACACAGACACTGTATCAAATCTCCATACCTCATTATAATGCTTGTTCAATGAATCCAGAATTCCTTTTAGTCCAGAAGGACCCTATATGGAAAAACATGCATCAGAAGGTCATTTTAATTTCAGTATTGTTATGTTTACATACCTGTATTCAAAGAGCAGTGGTCATGTAAAAGTGTTTAGATTTTTATTTGATTATACAGTAAATTATTTTCTGTAAGTTCATTATATCTTTTTTTCAGGCACAGAGGAGAAGCAGAGTCAGTTTCTAAATCCCTGAGTTTTGAAAACTGGCAACTTCTTTTGGAGTGAATCGGTCTGTCAGAGAAGGCAGAGGTGACATCCATATCAATTTTAATATGACTCCCTTCTGGTATGAGCAGCATCTTTGTTCTGCAGCATTTTAAAACTCTTTCCACTAACTCAAAGCACAAGTTTTGATGTAGAAGCAGCTCCTAGTGTGAGTAAACAGCTAGATTTTTAACTTAGAGTACAGAAAGTTAAATTGAGGAATGCCAGAATTCTCCAAAATACTAACTTCCTGGTTTTATTAGCATTGCAAGTTTATACTTACACACACACCTTTCATCAAGAATTTCAACAACGGAAAAGGAACTTCCTACGCAAATGCAGGCTTAGGATGGAGAGATTAAAAAACATGTGCTTGGGAAAAATAAAATATTTTTAGACATAATCTGCCATAAACCAGGCCCTCAATGAGATTTTAAAGTGTTGTAAATCAGGGCAGGTCACAAAAAGTTCAGTTAAGACCTTATGAATTAAAACTCAATTAAATTTTCAAATTAGCATGGTATCTCTCCAAAGATACTAAGATACAAAGTTGAAATTTTCACATCATGCTGTATGAACTACAGCCACTCATGATGGCTATAAGAAACATTTGACTACATTAGTAAGATTACAATATACTCAGTTAAGTCACCTGGTCTGAATGACCTGCATTTAACAGAGACAGGGCACAAAGACAACTCTCCTCCTCTGGGGCTTTTTATAGTTACAGACAATTTACCCTCTGCAGCTTTTGTGTTAGTGGGGAAAATGTAGCTGGCATACATGCACCCTAAAGACTGCTTTAGGAAATTGAATTCTCTTCAGTTTTGAAAAGGGTTGTTCCTCAAAAAAATGGAGGCTGTTTATCAGTCAGAGATGCTATGTCAGAGATTAGTCAGAATTTTTATCGCACATTTTAATTTTGTATAAGGTCTTTGTTAATTGTTTTATGTGCACTGTTTTTATACATACATCAGACGACACAAATATTCTGGTGTTATGCATTGTAACAAGAAAACAGCTTTCTACACTTTCAGAATAAGAATCTATTGAAAATTTCTCCCAATTTCATGCTAAAGCATCTACAAAACTATTACAGGAAGTCAGGGATCAAAATCATTTCTCACCCAAGATACAAATTGGTCAAGATGAAAATACCATTGTTTTCAACTGGTTAAGACTTTCGCAACAAGAACTGCTGTCAAATTCATAGCAGTGCAGCAGCAAGACTCCAAAGTATTCCTAGAAAAATTGAAAAACCTTCTATCCACTGATTTAAGCTAGAGATCCAAGGAAAATACTGAAATGCTATGTATTCTGGGTCAATATAAGCTGAATAACTAGTCACTATACTTTTCTAAGGAGGACCTCAACTATTTACTACTTCAGAGTTGCTCCTGTAAAAACCACCGGTCAATTCAGGGAGAAAGATGATGACAGGAAGAGCAATGATTTTGTCACAGGTGGCATTCCTCATATCTGATAATTTCGTATCTGTATAGAAGATGCTGCTTGTGAACTGAATATGACAGACAATCCTTGTTATTTGATACCTTTGCATCACGGTAACAGTTGTAAGGGTCACTAGGACATAGTAAATGGATTCATGGAAGTAGTGTAGCTCAACTTTTAGAAAATAATAGCTCTTACGAGTAAGGGAACTCTGACTATGGCTGGAAGGACACATGATACTGTCACAAAGCTAAAACTGAAAAAAAGCATTTCTGTTTTCAGAAAAGCATCATTCTCTTGGTAGGATAGATTAGTGTTGGTTTAAGAATAACCAGCTTCATGCAAAGAATATTAGGTCTTCACAGATGTTATAATTGTCACAGTAGTTTAAATGTATTTTTGGGTGGACAATTAGTAATAAGAAGGAAAATCACTGTGTAGGAGGCATGCTCTTGTCCCATCATCAGAATATAGTAAGAACATGGAGCCTCACAGCAATGACTCATGAAGACTGGAGAAGGCTTTCTTTCACTAATGCAATTATTCTGCAGAATTTGTTAGCACCTTTGGAGGCGGGCAGGAGAGACCGTAGACAATTTCAAAACAGGAGACTTGTAACTTGTTCTCCTCCAGGAGGCTCTCTCTTCAGGAAGTTCACCTTTTTCAATGTGTACAATTCCTGCATCTCTAACTGGGAGTAACGAGTCACAAGGCTGGTTCCTAAGTCCCAGTAGCAGGCTACGCTGATGAACGATTACTAAAAGCTTGGGAATTACCACAATGTAAAGTACTTGCATAAAAAGTAAGACACCAGTTTGGTGATATTGATTATGTGATAAAATGAGATAGCTACTTTGAGGATGCACATCCTGAGGGTGGTATAATTTGGCTCCTATGTAATCATATTTTGAAGTGTTCTGACAAAGCATTTAAATGAGGTAGGTCATGATTTGCATTCTGACAGAAAAGCCTTCTCTGGCAAGATGCATCTGCTCTCTAAGAGTGCACAGAATGGCAAACACACAGTTTTCCCACATGTAGAAGATGATTCTGCGAAACCCTGATGGCTCTCCTTACTTGTAAAGGTACTTCCCTTGAGGCAGTGAACTTCAAAAAGGTGAGAAACAGAACCATGATTTTGATTAACCAAACAGACTGCTACTTCTTTGGGGAAAAAAATTCAATCTGATGGAAACTAACTAATAAAAGAGAGACAATCACAAAGTTTCCATGGAGTCTGAAGGTATAAAAAGCTAGGAAGATGGTAAAGCCAAATTAAAGTCAAATAGGCAAAAGTTATTAAAACCAATGGATAAGTCAGTAAGACCTGGCAGAACATTATTGCAGCATACCAGAATGAGACAGGTGTGTTCTGAGACATCATCACTAAATTATGAAATATGATCCTATGTATTTTACTGTGATTACATTGTTACAGAAAGACAGTGGTACTTAAATATTAGGGGACATCACAAAGATTTGGAAGCCTCATGAAACATCACAGGTGCCTCACTTCCTCTTTGTTCCCCAA